CCCAAAGCTTGGTGGTTCAAGTTCACACTGAAGTGCCATGAAGGAAAAGTCTAGTGATCTACTTTTGAAATATCAGCTACTGAAAACCCTATGGAACATAGTTCAACTCAGATACACATGAGTGTATCACTTGGTGGCAACTGGTTTATTTTCTGGTTCTTACTTTGTGGCTCTTATCCTCTCAGAGCCCAACTGAGATAGTAGTTGTCCAGGAAGAATAAATTCTCGAAAGTGTGATCTCAACAAAAACTTTTAGGGTAAAGAGTATGGTGATTAAAAAGCCATTTATTATCACTTAATTCTACTGGTCCCAGGCACACAACCCAAACACTTATAGACGTGGTGAATACTGGCACCAGTTTCTGCACTCAAAACTATTTTAGGGGCAACACTGCATTTTAAATGTAAATTCTATATGCCTTCATTCATTGTCTGTCTTCATCACTGTCGTCATAAGCCAACATTTATTGTAAGTCCACATGGTTTTGGCACTATATAATGCTTTTTTTTATACTTTCTTTTTTTTTAAAAAAAAAAAACAAAGTGATATAACAATATGAAAAAGGAAAATATGAATGTTATCCCCTTTTAAAAGGGCTGTTGATGGGAAAGAAACATGATAACAGGTAAACACTGAAAATTATTTTCTTCTTTCACTCTTCAATAAGACTTTACTGTGCTGCTTCTTTTTAATGTAGTTGAAATTGAGTATTTCAGTAATTGTGTGTGCTATTCAAATCAATTAATTGCTAAATTACTGAACTGGCTTCAGAAAATGATCCAAGCAAAACCGCATCAACATCTCACTGTAGCTTCATCTGAATTTATACCAGAAGCATTCTGAAGTTACATTTTAATTCAGTTAACACTTTCATTTTGAACAGGACAGGTGGCCTGAATTAGAACTGGCCATATCAAAATGTTGCAGTTACAGGGCCCCAAGGACTTAACTACAGGCTTCAAGTGCACCCTGCTGGTGGGTAACCAGAATACCTAAAAATCATCTTAAAGTCTGCAATAAATAGGTATACTCCAAATGTCTTTTTCTGTTGCCTTTATCCATTCATTTAAGAATTTATCAAATACTGTGTTAGGCACTGAGTATCAAAGAGTTCATAGAATGAGGCCAAAAACGTCTACACGTAACTTCAAAACTCCCAGCTAAGGGCTATTATACCAAACCAAAAACCAAATTCATTGCCATCAAGTTGATTCTGACTCATAGTGAACCCTAGTGGGTTTCTGAAGCAGCAAATCTTTACCGAAGTAGATTGCTCCATTTTCCTTCCACGGAGCCGCTGGTGGGTTTGAACAACCAATCTTCTGGTTAGCAGTCAAATGCCTTACGCACCATGCCACCAGAGCTCATTAAAGGCTATTATAGTGACATTAATTCATGCAAACCATGTTGGTTTTTATTTTTGTAGATAATCTCGTGGCAATTAGTATTAGTTAGAAACTCCTGAAAAATAAGAGCAGCCATTTTCCATATCAGTAATTCACACCTTGACTGTTAACCAGAAGGCTGGTGGTTCAAACCCACCAGCCACTCCTCGGAAGGAAGATGGGGCAATCTACTTCCATAGTGATACTGCCTTGGAAACCTAAGGAGGGGTCGCTATGAGTCAGGTCGACTCGATGACACGTAACAACAACACATGCAGCTAGAAAACAAGTACTGAATGACTGCTTTTATAAAGAATGACATAAATCTATTTACATAGAATCTGTATTACTTTTGCTGATTATCCTATTAATAGTGTTTATAGTTTTACTTATTCTGCTTCCTGCTAGCTCAGCATTCAGTTCTATTATGCAAATGCGGAAACTGAGGCAGAGAGTCTTACCTGGTAATTCAGTATCATAGATGAGACTAGAACCAGAATTGTCTGATTGCCTCTGTTGGTTTTCTTGGTAGATTCATCCAATGACTTTTGTGTGGTTTCTAATGGTAAATATGAGAGGTTTTATGAAGTCACTGAGTAATATGAGATAGCCACTTTCAAGAAGGGTTAAAAAAAAAAGAAAGAAAGAAACAAAGTATGAAAAAACATGGGATCTTTTCCAACATCAGCTACTAGGCAGCTGTCACAATTCTCTTCAGTTGGATGCAGTCTTTCATCAAGTTATGAAAAGTTCCCTATCAAATTACCAATTTTCATCATCACCCAGGCTCTGGCTTGGCACGGCTCAACGAAATGATACTTGTAATGCCAAAGCAAAGTGATTACATAAATGATTTATTGGATCTTCTTTAATCCTATACGAGAAGCTTACAGTAATCCTAATTAGTATTTTACTCACCCGGTGTAGTCATGTAACAGTAATCTATTGAATTTCCAACACTGAGTATGAAAGGGTGCAAAATTTTTAAAGGTATTCCTAGTTCATATAAATCAAAAATGTGAGTCATTATGTTCATAAAGATGGTTTATTTGAAAGATATTAATGGTTCTCTATGCAAACTCTTAAGACATTTCCAAGATGTCAAAAAAGAAAAAAAAATCTAGAGGTGATGGAGGAGGTGTAAGTTCTTAGCACTATCATTTTAAAGCTGTTCTTTACTTTGAATAACTATGAAGTATTTTCAATCCATCTACATCTTGTTGCATTTAAAAGTATTGTCATATGTAACTTGATTTGTTTTAATTTTCTTTTAAGTATCAAAATATCATCTCTAGGAGCACTTTTTGGTTTACTGCCTTGTATAGTACTATGAAATAAGAACTACTCACTTCTGATATTTTCAATCATGTAAAATTGTTTCCTTCTTGATAATGAGCAGAATGGCTATCATTGCTTTAGATCACTACTTTGTATCAGAGTAACAATAAATTTTTAGGTAGGTTTTATGCCTATCTCAGGTTCAAAACTTTAGCCAATTAAGCCCAGAGTTCAAAAACTATTAAAATTTAAATTCAGCAGAAAGGAAATTCTACCTCTGCAACCCAAAAATCCAAAGCCACCATCACTGGTCAATTTCAACTGATTGTGACCCTATAGAATAGAGTAGAACTATCCCATATGGTTTCCAAAGCTGTAAAACTTTATGGAAGCAGGCTGCCTCATCTTTCTCCTGTGGAGCAGCCGGTGGGTTTGAACCACTGACCTTCTGGTAGCAGTGGAATGCTTTAACTACTATGCCACCAGCAAAAAATTAATGTAAAGCCTTTGCTCAACCACAACACATTGTTCTAATTGTTATCTTTTGTGTATGTGCCCATGCTTATTCACTGGTTCATACAAGCATACCCGCACTCATTCATCTGAAGTCAAAATAGTTATTTTCAATCCTCTGTAGAAGATGCTGAAAAGTCTGAGAACCAGTAGGCTAAGAGGAATTAGACATGGATGTTTCTTAGTAAAAAAAAATAGGAGAGGAATCTGAAACAGGCAGGAGAGCGTCAGAATGTTTTAGCAACTTGAGCAGAATTTTGAATTAAGTTACATAGGAATTAAGACAAATGGGAATAAATTCTAGGTTGGATTTTCAAAAGTATTTAGGGATGAAACAATTTGATCCTGTGGAGTCCTTTAAACTACTAGAGAAGTAAATGTTTGATAAAAAAGCCTAGGTGTCTGAATTAGGAAGAGCCACTGAGAAATTTCACATAAGGAGTATCTTATTTTTAGGCAAATAAGGCACACATTATTCACAAACCTTGCAACCCCCTGGTGCATTAGCTTCCTCTGTGCTTTATGCACTACATGCACGTGCACGGTATTTAAGCATCATATGTGAAAAAATACAGTATGACCCAATTTGAATTTTAGTAAGGCCACTTGGGCAAGTATGGGAGGTAATGGAGGAGGTATGGGGCTAGAGCAAGGAAATATTAGCTTTCTGAAATAATCTGGGCTTGAACTGAGGTAATTAAGGCAGATAATGAACAATTTATATCTTTGCTATATTCAAAGTGATCCTCAACCAGTAGTACAGGTTATCATTCAGAAGCTTGTCAGAACGCAGAATATCGCGCCATCTTACTTACCTTCAGAATCCGCATTTTAACAAGCTCCTCAGGTAATCTGTATGCATGTCTAGGAGGTACCATTCAGAGATAAGGAATACAGCAAGGGCAGATGTTGGGGTGGTGGGGGGTGTCACTATTTTAGGTTTGTTCAGTTTGAAGTGCTTGTGAGACATCCAAGGAAGATCCATAGCAGTTGGGTGTACGGGTCTGGAGGCCAGGTTCAAGTCTGGTCTGGAAATGTAATTTTAGCTTTTACCTGCTGGTACCTGAAGCCATGGTCTGACGCAATCTCCTCAGATTTATCCAGGAAAAGTATATCCAGTCAGTCAGGCAGAGGGCCCAAGAGAGCCCTAGAAACACCATTATTTAAGTCCCATATAGAAAAGGTACTCCACAAGACATAGAAGGAACTTCCAGTAGTAGGAAGAAACAATGGTGAGAGTGGGAAGAAAGTTCCAAGTGTCAGGATGGTCACATTCTTTTTCCAGCAGAGGTCATATAAGGATAGGAGTCCAGCAGAAGTGACAATCTTGATGTCAGAGTAACACTAAAGGGTGATTATTTCCCACTAAGTTCTTTCTTGACCGTAGCATGTGGGGATGCAATGGAAGGATTCGCTTTCAAAGTTCAATTCAGAGTAGAATACGTGGGAGGAGCTTGGTGTGACGCCAGCGTGCAAATGTTCACTCTTCCACTAGATGGTAAATTCTTTGAGGCATAATGGAAGGCATATAAAGATGAGTAAGACCCAGTACTAACTCTCAGCGTTTATAACAAAATAAGACAAATGACTGTAGTACAAGATGAGGCATTAAAAATTTATAAAGTATTATGGGAATTCAAAGGAGAAACAAAATATATCCAGACATTCAGGAAAGGCTGCTTCTTTGTGTTCACCTCAGTTCTTAACAGAGATTTACACATACTAAATACTAAATATATACTTAAGGTCTATTAATTGTTAACTTTTTCTGTCAAAAAGTCTGATGAATTAGTAATAAGGACAAAATCCTGTTTATTCCAAAATCCAAGCAACTTCAAACTCATTCATGAGATATTTATTAAAATAACACATTTAGGGAAAAAAATCAATACAATGTATACATCATTACTGAAAACTGTATACCATCATACAAAAAAGGATTTTATTTTGGGAAACTGATTTCTAATTTATGGCAAGTTTCACTTTCAGAAATAAATCCACAGAGCAATACAATCTAATTCAATCTTAAAGGCTGGCATGCTGAGCAAGGAATGTTCTTATTCTTTGTAGGAGCTCCTTCTTTACACTGTCAGGTACCAGGGCTGAAACATAAAAAATAAAAATAGAAGAGTAAGAAGATTCCAATGAATGTATGTCAATTTAAGATTTGAAATTTTATTCAGGATTACCAATGAAAGAATTTCATAATTAACTCTCAAGCTTCAATAAAAAGGTAAAGATACCTGAAAAAAATTTTAAAAGTATATATGCACTACATGAACTATCCAATACCTAAATACATTGCACTCCGATGAGAAGCAAGCAAGGAAAAATTCATTAAACTGGGAGTGAGAAGGCCTTTTTCAACAGATTGTAGGCTGCTAAATTTGATTCAAACACAACAACTTAACTTTGGTCAAAATGATGACAAACAAAGGCAAAATACAAAAGTCAAAAGGGAAAAGCTCTCACAGAAAAGAACTGATCTCTCCACTATACAGTTTCTTCAAATTGATTAAAAAAAAAAAACCAGCATGCTAATAGAAAACCGAGCAACAGAGATGAAGACTATTTACAGAAAAGATGAATAATAGTTCTTGAAAATAAGAGATGCTCAAACTCAGAACAGAAATGAAAATTAAAAGCACACTGAAATATCATGTTCTAGCAATCACTTGGCTACAATCCAAAAGGGTTTGTTAATATACTGTTGGCAATCTGAGCAGAAACAGCACTCTTGTATTATCTTCTGGAGTGTCAACTGGTATTTTTTGGAATATAATTTGGCACTATTTTATTGAAATAACAAATCCAATGGCAAAGATGCACAAGCTGTAGTAGTTATATTTGTTACAGTTTTACTTTTTGAATTTTGAACCATGAACCACATGACTGTATTATTTGGAACAATAAAACTAAAAACACGAAAAAACCCCAAAGCCCCTTTATTTTGAAACTTTAACACTGAATGTCAATTAATAGATCTATACTATTGTTTCTCCTGTTCTGGCTACTGAAAAATAAAACAAAAGGGCTAAAATTCTAATGCATTTGCTTATATGTCTAGGGGAAACAGAACATTTCAGATATATTCCAACATTTCGATAAAGAATTACACAAATAAGTACACAAATCAAGTAAGATGGATACCCCCTGTTATAAATATTTTGTTTAAGCCTACATAGAAATAAAGGCTTCCCAAGTGATCCAAGCCCTCTGGAAACGTGATCAGTACATATATTAAAAATATTTTGATCAAAACTATGATTATGGAGAACACATCAGTTGCCTTGAAGCTAAGAGTAGGGTGTGACTATAAAGGACTACCTTAGAGGGAGTTACTATTATTTTTTTGGAGTGATGGAATGCTTCTGAACCTTGATTATAGCAGTAACTACATGAATCCATACAGTTGTTAAAATACATAGAACTGTCCACTAGAAAAAAAGGTTAATTTAAAAAGTAAGTACATCTACTCTTGGCAATAAAAAGACAAGGAACACAAAGAAACCTATCTGTTTTTATTTCTCTTTCCTTTATTTGTCTATGTAATGGATTGAATTGTGCCCCTAAACATGTTTGCAAATCTAAACCCTTAAAGTGGTTAGAATCTCATTTGGGAACAGGTTTTCTTTGTTATGCTAATGAGGTGGTGTAGAGTATGGCTTAAGTAAATCTCTTTCTGAGAGAGAAGACCACATGTAAGCTAGAAGAGATGAAGGAAGACAGATGTCATGTCACAGGAAGACACCAATTACTTCTTATGCAATGGCAAAAACCAAAGCCACGAACAGAAGCTGGGAAAGGACAAGGACCTTCCCCTAGAGCTGGCAGCCTGAATTCAGACTTCTAGCCTCCAAACTGTGAGAAAAAACTGTTGTTTCTTAAAGCCAACCACTTGTGGTGTTTCTGTTGTAAGTGCAGAATAACGAACACAGTCCATTCTTTAGCAGGGAATTATGAGCTTGAAATGTCTAAGTCACAAGTGTTAAAGGAGAAGCAAAGAACAATTCCTGCATATAATTTACACATGAAAACTAAAAAGTAGAGATTATTTTTAAATATAAATTCATGAGAGGAACAAAAAATCCTAAGTTGTTTATTTCTCCTGAGATATACTTTGAAGTCATATTTTTTCAGCTATAATTTCAATTGCCAATTGGCCTAAAGAGACAGTTGAAAAACACCATGAGATTCTCTGTAGCTTCTTCCCAGCTGACAGCAGCCCAGGGAATCACAAGTGTTCGACAGTCAAAATTTTCAAATTTACTTGAAATTGAAACTCTCTTGACCAGTTTCGTGTGAGAAAACTGAAGGGCTACCTAATTCACTTGTCTCCACTAACAACTACATAAATGAACTTTATTAAAATAAATGAAGATAATGGCTACCAAATTCTTAATTAGACATTCAAGAAGACAGGGCTTGGTTTATTTTTAATAAGCAAAGAGACAGCAGAGGGAAGGCTCAGGAAATGGAGTAAAACCTTCAACTATTAACTATTTAAGTGGTTCTGAGTCAGGCTGTATCGGATACAGTTAGTAAATCCCACTTCAGACATTCACCTCTACAAAATCCTATAGTTTAAAAATTATTCATCTTAACAGCATCAACTTGTATTTCATACTGTTTCCTATTACGAAAATATACTTAATATTTCATTTGTTACTCAAGATTTTGCTAGAGAAACAGGGAGGCAATTAAAACTTGAGGAAATTCAAGTACCCAAGTAATTCAGGAAAGGGTGCTTTTCCTTAGAAAAAGAAAATCTGAGTAAACAGAAGGAAAAAACAAAAATCCTGTCTTTAGCCATGTTCCTTTAACACAATTCACATTCCATACCTCTGCCTTTTGGAGTGATTTCAGCCACCAAGTCATCAACAGTAACGTGTTCTAGTCCTTTTTCTTTAATTACCTCTTATGCAAAAGCAAAAAACAAATCATATCATTTAAAATCATTATCTGTAAGAAAGATTTTCATAGAGGAAGGGTTAAGGTCATGTTTTTAGAATATAGATTGGTCCTCAAAAAAAGAAGATGCTTTCTTGTTCTTTTCTAATGAAGATTATTTCGTGCAATCTTAGAAACACATTTCAAATTCTCCAGAGCAAAAAAATAAAAACCTAATCATTTCTCAGCTAAATAATGCATAGCTTAACAAATAATTATAATACTTAAAATGAATTTGCACTGTAATGTTGAAATTTAACATTCAGAAATGCTTGTAATAGGGCAGATCTTATTTCACTATAATTTGAGCAGGTCTTAAATGTGTTAAGGTACAAAGGCTGTTAGCTGAGTCTAACATAATTTCACAATCACATATTAAAATGCAGAACAGCTCCTTTGTTCTTTTCTAGGCTGGGCCAAAACACCACAAGAGGGAAGGAAATGAACATTTACTGCTTGCCTATTATGTGCTAGGTGCTGTCATAATTTAATCTTAACATTTAATGCACTAGGTATTTTTCCCACTTCAAGGGGTAAGGAGTGAGGAAACAAGGCTTAAAGATAAAATAATTTATCCAAACATGACTTGAATCCAGCTCTAGTCCTTTGCCAGTTAAGGTCTGCAAGACTCCAAAGTCTGTGTTTTCACTAATTTACCATAAGGACTTCTTACAGTCATTGTGATAAGCTCTCTCTATTATCATTATTTGTAAAAAACATTACAATACAATGAAAATCCATTTTAAAATATCCAGAATTCTATCATGCCAAAAGCTGAGCCAGAAAGTAAGGAGGCTCATTTCAGTGACATGTAATCTATCAGGTACTATCATCACCAATACCAAGCAATTCAGCAAACTCCCATTCTACAGTATTTAAAATAAACACAAATCTCTTAAGACTTCTTATAGAAATTTCAAAATAACACTATTAAAAAGGGATATAATTCCTATAAAATTCAGCTATCCACAATGTGCTCAATTTGTTAAGTTAAAATATATTTAAAATACTAATGTTTCCCTTTAAGCAAGCATATCAAAAAATATGAGATTCTGTATTTTGAGACAGAAAAGCGTAAGCATGCACTCGTCTCATTTATTTCAAGAAACATCCAAGGAAATAATGAATTAATAATTAATAATTCGAAACATGTATCACAGAGCAAAGCAAACTATCACCACAGAATTCCATTTCCTATTTGTTTAAATTTATCCTTGAACCTTAATATACTATTATTATTTTTTTCTAGTGAACCCCAAACCAACTCAGTTTAGAGTAATAGATTTAGTTTAATTTCTAAATTAAATTGATTACCTTTACAGTGTGCTTTCAATTGATCCTTCCAGCCACATTCAATTAATTTAGCTCTCAGCAATTCTTTGAGGCTGTTGAAAAAAAAGTGTTTTCAAATTAGACTGCAATAATGTAGATTTTAGAAAGGGATGCTTGAAGCAAAGGATACAACCATTCAACTAAAAATTTTCTGCCTTCTGCACAAGACTTTAATTTTGTTCTGTCACAAAACAGTTCTTGACCTGTTCAAGTCATTTAAATTCTGGGACTCATTTTCATCATCAGTAAAATTAAATGAATTGGATGCTACCATTAATTCTCACCAAGCTCTTACTCTCTGGTCTTCTGACCTGACCCACTTTTCTACTTCCCTTCACCAACAAAAATATACAAAGCTGGGTCTTTTGCAACTACTGGAGGGGATTATCTGAGCTTGGAAGAGTCGCACCTCTGAAACCGTCACTGTCCCAAACACATTCTTTGACCATAAATTCTCATCCATTTGGCTCTTACTTCACCTTTACATCATCTCTCTCTAACCTTAATCTTTGGCCTCCCTTTATTCCAGCTTTCATCAGGTTCTTCTAAATTACACACTGACTATGTTATGTCATTGATTGTAACTGTTTTTCCCCCACATTTTAATAATTCAGTAGCTCGTATGCCTATATGAATTTAACTGGCAGTATTTTCTCTCAGTGGCAAATACGGGCTTATTACAATAGCATTATGGATGCAATAAAGTAAATTATTTTCTTGTCAGTACTTTCTTATCCTTTTGCCACACTCACTCTTACAAATGCTCAATATTAAGCCATCCAGTTTCTTTGCTTAAACATGTCATGTCTCAAACCAAGTCAATTCTCTTTCCATGCAAAGCTGCTTCTCTTTTGCTCTTCCAAGACATATGTTACTTCCATCTCGTCAATTAGGCCTTTCAATCTTGGTAGCACCAAAACCTAACTCTTCAATCTTTTCAACCTCAAGCTGTTTTCAATCTCAGGATGGAAACTCCAGCTTTATGACTCCTGAGGCACGAAACCTTGGCAGTAGCCTTCTCCCTTCTCTTTTGTTAATACCGCATATCCAATCTAACAGCAAATCCTATTGGTTCCAGTTTTAAAATACATACCAAGAATCCAAATGTTTCTCACCATATTTGTCATTGTCACTCTAGGTCATACCACCATCTTCTCCTGTCTCATCTGTTCCCATAACCTCCTAATTTGGCCGTCTGCTTCTTCCCTTGTATACTCAATCCTTTTCCTACTGCTTCAAAACTTCTAGTGATGTCCCAATTTACTCAGAATAAAATCCCAAGCCTTTACTATAGCCTCAAAGACCCCCCACGGCCTGCTCCTCCACGATCAGCTATGCCTCTGACTTGGTCTCCTCTCCCCTCACCAGTCTCATCAGCTTTCACGTTCTCAAAAATGCCAGGTAAGCTTCTGCCTCAGGACTGTGGTTCCTGGAAGTCCCACTACTCCCTCACTTCCTCTGGTTTCTTACCACTGAAGCCCTTCTTGGCCCTCCTATCCAAAATAACATGCCATTATTCTGTTTCATTTTTCTTCTAGCACTTATCACCACTCGACATATTACATATTTATTGTCTGTTTCTTCCCTTTCTTTCATTTTCATTAGTTATCTCTAGCACCTCAATAAGATATGGTACATAGTAGAAACTTAGTAACTGAGCTATATGAACGAAAAAAACAAACACCCAGAAACAACAAACAATCCCCTACACTCATTGCTATTGGGCCTACTATTCCCTCAGTTACCCAAGGCATTGTTCTACATGCTGTGTCCGCATATGGAGGTTGCTAATTCTTTTTAGTTTTCCATTCTGTTTTTTGCTTATCTTTACCTGATATAATATTCTAACTTATTTTTCTGCTATCTATCTTGACTCATTCAAGTCTATTTTCCACACTACAGAATATGATTTTCTTAGGTACAAACATGATCTAGTCAATCCTTTTTTTTTTAAAAAATCTTTTAAAGACTCACACCACCCAAGAATAGAGTTGGCAAGAGATGATTTCAAAAAGCCCACCGCTCACTTTCCTGCTCTTTCTTTGAGGGGGAAGAGACCTACACCGCTCTCAGTGTCATCTGGGTTGGGTTCTGGGGATGGAAACGTGATCCAGGCAAGGCTGACCACAGCTAGCCTATTACCTAAGTGGAATAGCAGGCTAGTTCTTTGTTGCAACTACTGGGAAGCAAGTAGTCTGAGATGGAGGGATGTAAATTTTTAACTGCTGCTGGCCATCTCTGACACTCTCTGTGTAGAGCTTGCTTGAGTCAACACAGAGGAAAGCAGAGCGGAGAGAGGAAAAGAAACATACCCTTGGTCACAATTTTTGAGTTCCTGGATCCAGGGGAACCCAAAGCATCTTCAAGCCCTGGATTTTCCAGATACATGAGCTCAAGCATTTCCACTGGTTAAACCAGTTTCTGTCAGATTCTGAGTTGTTTCTGTCACTTTCAATTAAAGAATGCTGACTCATACAAAATATAGATGGTATAATGAGCTCTGGTGGTGCAGTGGTTAAGACATTCGGCTGCTAACCAAAAGGTCAGAGGTTCAAACCCACCAGCCACTCCGAGGAAGAAAATGAGGCAGTCTGTATCTGTAAAGATTTATAGCCTTGGAAACACTAGGAATCGCTTTGACTTGGAATTGACTCAATGGCAGTGGGTTTGGTTTTGTTACAAGATATAAAAAGATCAATGATCTGGTTCCTGCCACTATTCGAACCTTTACACTTTAGCTTCTAGTTTCTATTATTATTTGCAGTTTCCCAGAATATTATCATGTTGTTACTCAACCTCTGTGACTGTGCACAATCTGTTCCAACTGCATAGAATGTCTTCTTCTCTTTACTGGCCTAGAGAACTGTTAATCCTCCTGCCCCAGCTGAGTTACCTCTTTTACGATGCTGTGAGACCATGCCTCATCATCTTAACTCCCAAGCAGAAATACACATATTTCTATTAAACACTCTATCACTCTGCTTCCAGGAAGCCTTTCTTGATTCCCTTGTCTCTCTTTTGTGCTTCCATAGTGGTTTATTCTTCAAACATTCACTTGGTCAATTATGTGCCAGCCATAGCATTAGATGCTGGATATACAAGAGTGTTTCTAGTCTCAGGACTATATTCTACTGGAGAATACAAACTAGCAAAATGGGTGGTTACAAATATGTGATTAAATGCTGTGACAAAACAAATAATGAATAGATTCCTAAAAGAGGTGATATCTAAATTAAGGTGTGAAAGATAAGCTGAAAGTAACTAAAGCTGAGGGGAAGAAAGAGTTGTTTCAGAAAGATTAGCACTCGCTTGCTACTCAGAGACTAAGAGAGGTTGGCACTGAAACGGGTTCTTTCATGCCTCTGTTAAAACTTAGTTAACATCCTGTCTTTAATTGTGGCTATCTGAATACTTACTTTTCTTCTCCAATAGATTATATGTTCTTTAAGAAAGTAATTTCTTATTTACACTTCTACACAACTCTCTCCCCTTCAAGTCGTGCAATATTGAGCAGACTAAATTCTCTTTTATATATGTTGGGAATGGAAGATTTTGTTGTTATGCATGTTAGGAAGGAAGAGTTTGTTAATTATGTGTTGTTCGTTCTGGGGACATCAGTTCTTTCCTTGATACTTAGATTCTTATGTTACTATAATTTAAAAACGATAAGTTTATCAACACAATCTATTACTTACCGTTCTCTTTCTCCAGTTTCTATCAACTTTTGGTTAATCGCTGCTCTCATCTGCGCATCTTTGTTCATCTTGCTAACCTGAACATCAACATTTATTTTCAGATATAAAACACTTACACATCATTTTCTTCTAAATCCTCTAGGCAAGCATCCTAACAAGTTTAATATTCTGTCTACCAACTGAAGGGGTGCTAAATTTCAACAATGTGTGTTAACAATACCATTACTTTTAATATTATTTATTGCATCCCAAGTGATAAACTCACTTCACAGTATTCTCCCCCTGTATTATTTATGCACTTTTGGATAATGACGATAATAACATTTATTAAACACTTATATGCCTGATACTGGGCTAAGCATGTTGAGTCTGTTTTTTTCAAAATCTCATTTAATTCCCAGAATGACTGTTACATAAGTATTATGAACAATGTGTATTTTACAGGTGAGGAAACTGAGGCACAGAGTTAGAAACTGGCGAAGGCAGAATTTGAATTTAGGAACTTTAACGGTATATCACAACATACAGCTAATCATTGATTCACCTTCACTGCATTCAATATGTTGGGGAAGCCATATAACTTAAAAATCAGTAAACGATTAATCACTCTTAATGAAAAATGAAATCGTCAGGTAAGCCTCTAAGTCTAAGTGCTTTACTCTTCACTAGGATGGATTTAGATTTAACTAAGTGCTAAATTAGTTTCAGATCACAGATAAGTAAGTAAATAAGCTCTTTATCAAAGCCTGTTGTGGGATAAGGGGAAAACAAATCCCAAACTAATTCCTAACCTAGAAAACAATCAATTTTCAACTAAAAAACAGAAGAGACAATCAAAAACAAGTCGATGTAACAAGAAAAAGGAGGTTAGATTTTGAAAAAAATCAATACAATGAAAAGTTTAGATAAAATGAAACTTGGGATAAGTTAACGTTTCCCCAACTAATCGGTCACTAACTTGAGACCAGTTTTGTTTTGCTTCCGATTTTGCCTATCTTAAAAGTTAGACTGGCAATGAGTTTTCAGAGTTGGAAAAGGAGGACGGAGAAGTGGGGGGAACGGAGTTAAGACAGGACCAGGAAATGCTTACTGCTGTAGGAGGCTAACGTTTTCAAAACACGGTCTAGTCAGTGCCAGTGCTAGAAAACTGAACTTGATTTCGCCTTATCCTCTGATATACGGATAGTGACCTTGGACAAGTCACTTAATTCTTAAAGGCCTCAGTTTTCTCACTGGTAAAACCAGGACGCTAGGGGATGCCACCTATCCCTCCCAGTTCAGACATTCTTTGGGAAAATAGAATAGGGCGGAGACAGCGGGAGAGGCGGGAGGGGAGGAGCCAGAAAACAAAGCGAGGACTGGCTTCAGGCCAACTCCGGTAGCACGCCCTGTCGGAGAGCCCTAGAGGCCCGCGAGCGCGGGTTGGGGAAGCTAACGAAAGACAGCACATCAAAAGGAGCCTGGGCTGGGCCCGGGTCCCGGCCCTGAGGACCACGGGCATAGCTCACCACCATCACCGCGGGCGAGGGCCGTCCCTTCCCAGCGACGAAATGACCCTTGCGCTGACGACCGTTACCTACCACACTCTTCGGCTGCCCAGACTTAGACCCTCAGTAGCTCGGGCACCTAAGCACACAGAAAGCTAGAACACGCATTTCCGGGGCGGGGTCTAGCCTCCCTGCCTATAATGTGAAAATTTAACCAGCGCGGGCCACCTCCTGGTCTCTCAGCCCTCTGGGTAAGTGAGTCCAGACTTTTTTGTCGCGCTGGCGTTAAGTCCCCGAAAAACTGCACAGCCCAGCATGCAACAGGGTCAACTTTCTACATGTGTACTACAATGTGTACTACATTTCCCAGAAGTCACTCTGCACCGCAGTGTTTTCTGGGATGGGAACCACGCCGTTTCCCAGCCTGTGAGACAAGTGAAGCGCGGATCTTTCAACAAGAGCTTTATTAATTACGCCGGGAACTTGGCAGGAGATGGAAGTGGCGGCTAATTGCTCCCTGCGGGTTAAAAGACCTCTGTTGGACCCCCGCTTCGAGGGTTACAAGCTCTCCCTTGAACCACTTCCCTGTTACCAGCTGGAGCTTGATGCAGGTGGGAAGCGGCGGTGCCCCATTGCACTGTGTCCCTTTCCCCTTTCAGGTGTCATCCGCGCGATCCTTCTTGCATTTTCTTCTTTTCCTGACGTCTGACCTGTGCAACCAAGCGACCGTGGTCTTCCTTATAGCCCGTCAGCTGGTGTACCTAGGGTGGCCGTCCCTGGAGAAGGACGCCCATCCCGGAACTCCATGAGAGCCGCTTTCCCGTGGCCCTTGCGTAGTGGGACTCTGGGTTAGCCCTCGGCACAGCCGCGCAGGCTCCGCTGCCCAGCACGCGATCGCTACCTGGGCTCTAGTTGTCTCTCTGGCCCAGTCCGGCCATTGCTGCGGAGAAAGCTCAGGGCATGCCATTTTCTGGATCATTCTCTGTAAGTGTGTTGAGGAACACTTCCTTGGGGGACCATCAGCTCCTGTGTACTCTGATGGAGACCCTGATGTAGAGGGGAAACTCCATTCCATTTCAAAGCATTTTCACTTACCTAGGTCCTGTCAGACTAAGGACTCCATCGTAGAGAACATCTCTAGAAAAATCTGAGGAAAAGTACCTACACTTTTACTGCTTGTTTTACTGTAAACTCAAAACTCACTGCCGTCGAGTCGCATAGCGACCCCTCCTTGGGTTTCCGGGGCAGTATCATTACGGAAGTAGATTGCCCAACCTTCCGTCCGAGGAGGGGTTGGTGGGTTTGAACCACTAGCCTTCTGGTCAGCAGTTAAGTGCCTTAGACACTACCCCACCAGAGCTCCTGTGTTTTACTGTGGCTAACTAAAATATTCTCTTCCTTGTCCTTGTCTTTGCAGGGTAAAGAACAGGGCACTTTGGTTCATGATAAGGAGTCCACAGACCTGCATTTTTAATACACACCTCTGGTGATTCTGATACGTGTAGTCAGTGAACCTCAGTTTTAGAAATACTGATCTAGAGTTTATTAGTAGACATTAGGGTAGAGTATCAAATGAGTGTTTATTAATTCATTAAATTCAGAAACATCTGTCAGAGTTTTATTTTATGTTTCATGTCGATAATACCAAACTGAATAAGACACAACCTGTAATATAAAAGTGCTATTGGAGAAAAAAAAAAAAAAAAAAGAGCTCTGGTGGCATAGTGCTTAAGGCATTTGATTGCTAACCAGAAGGTTGTTGGTTCTAACCCACCAGCCACTTTGCAGAAGGAAAACTGGGCATTCTACTTCTTTAAAGATTTACTGCCTCAGAAACCCAAAGAGGGTTGCTATGAGTTGGACTTGACTGGATGGCAGTGAATTTGGCTTTCTTTTTGTTTATTGGAAGAAAAATGTGTAAACAGATAATTCTAAAGCAATATAGAAGGGCAATGATAGGGATAGGTACCAAATGTAATGGTAACACTTGAGAATCTCTCCTAACCCAGCTGAGGGATGTGGGAAAGCTTCCTAGAGGAGTTGATAGGCAAGTTGAGCTTTAATTGATCACATGGGTCACCATGAGTTGAAGGCAACTCACAATGGGTTAACCAGACTAAGAGAAGATGAGCTTGATTTTTCTTTTCACACTCCCCCCGCCCCCCCCATTCTATGCCCTCTCTCATACTCATATTTCATCCAATCTCCTCATCTCAGTAATTGGTACCATCATATTTAGTTAGCCAATGCTGCATTAAAAATCCTCCGCAAAAAGGCAGTGGCTCAAAACAATAAGCAGTTATTAGTGCTTACAAGTCTGTAGGTAAACTGCCTGGTTCTGGTTTTGGCTGGGCACATTCATGCATCTTTGGTCAGTTACAAGTCTGGTAGGCGGTTTTGTTCATCTTGCCTGGACCTTCTCATGTCTTTGGTAGTTAACTGGCAATAGGCTTGTTTAAGATTATCTCAGATGATATCTGTGATATCTCAAATGATTATCTCTGCTCTGTTCTCCTCCATGTGGCTCTCATTCTTCAACAGACTAGTGCAGTCTTTCTTTCCTGGTGGTAGTAGGGTTCCAAGAGATAAGTGGCCAAACAATTTTCGAGTTGCTGCTTGAGACATGTTATTGTCCCATTGAATGTCAGAAGCCATTTAATGAAACCTAGAGGAAGTGTTAATGAATTATTGATGGATGGATGTTTGCAGCTGTTTCTTATTTTGAGTCATGCCACATCAGCAAATGTGCCATCAGCAAATGGTACAATTCATTAATCATCCATTAATAATCAAAACATGGAATATATGAAGTATGAACCTAGGAAAATTGGAAGTTGTCAAAAATGAAACGGAATGCATAAAGATTGATATCCTAGGCATTAGTGAGCTGAAATAGACTGGTTTTGGCCATTTTGAATCAAACAACTTAATGGTCTACTACACCAGGAATGACAAATTGAGGAGGAGTGGCATGGCATTCATCATCACAAAGAATGTTTCATGATCTATCCTGAAATACAATGCTGTGAGTGATGGGATACTATTCATACACCTACAAGGAAGATCAGTTAATACTGCTATTATTCAGCTTTACACACCAACCAGCAAAGCCAAAGATGAGGAAATTGAAGATTTTTACCAACTCTGCAGTTTGGTTTTTTTTTAACCAACTCTGTAGAATTTACCAAACATGCAGTCAAGATGTATTGATTATCACTGGTGATTAGAATGCAAAAGTTGGAAACAGGAATCACTGGTAGCTGGAACATGTGGCCTTGGTAATGAAAATTACTCTGGAGATCGCATGATGGAATTTTGCAAGACCAATGATTTATTCATACAAATACATTTTTTCAACAACATAAATAGCAGCTATGCATGTGGACTTTGCCAGATGGAGTACACAGGAACTACATCTGTGGAAACAGTTGATTAAGAAGCTCAGTGTGCTCAGCCAAAACAAGGCCAGGAGCAGATTGTAGAACAGACCATCAATTGCTCATATGCAAATTCAAGTTTAAGCAGAAGACAATTAAAACAAGTCTGCAGGAGCAAAAATAAGAACCTGAATATATCCCTTTTGAATTTAGAGATCTAAAGAATAGATTTGATGCTTTGAACACAAGTGACCAAAAACCAGAGAAATTTTGGATGACATCAAGAAGATCATCTATGAAGAAAGGAAAAGATCATTAAAAAGACAAGAAAGGAAGAAAAGACCAAAGTGGATGTCAGAAGAGATTCTGAAACTTGCCCTTGAGCAGAGAGTAGCTAAGCAAGTGGAATATATGACAAGATAAAAGATCTGAACAGAAGATTTCAAAGAGCAGTTTAAGAAGAAAAAGACAATTACCATAATGAAATGTGCAAAGACTTGGAGTTAGAAAACCAAAAAGGAAGAACATGCTCAGCATTTCTCAAGCTGAAAGAACTGAAGAAAAAATTGAAGTTTTGAGTTGCAGTATTGAAAGATTCTGTGGGCAAAATCTTGAATAAATGCAGGAAACATCAAAAGAAGATGGAAGGAATACACAGTCACTGTACCAAAAAGAATTGGTCAGTGTCCATCCATTTCAGGAGGTGGCATATGATCAAAAACCAATGGTATTGAAGGAAGAAGTCAAAGCTGCACTGAAGGAATTGGAAAAGAACAAGGCTCCAGGAATTGACAAGATACTCATTGAGATGTTTCAACAAACAGATGCTGTGCTGGAGGCACTCACTCATCTGTGCCAAGAGATTTGGAAGACAGCTACCTGGCTAACTGACTGGAAGAGATCCATATTTGTACCCATTGCAAAGAAAGGTGATCCCACAGGATGTGGAAATTATCGAACAATCGTATAGTTAATATCACATGCAAGTACAATCTTGCTGAAGATAATTCAAAAACAGTTTCAGCAGTATATTGACAGAGAACTTCCAGAAATGCAAGCTGGATTCAGAAGAGGACGTGGAATGAGGGACATCATTGCTGATGTCAGATGGATCTTGACTGAAAGTAAAAAATACCAAAAAGTTGTTCACTTGTATTTTATTGACTGTGCAAAAGCATTCAATTGTGTGGATCATGACAATTTATGGGTAAGATCAAGAAGAAGGGGAATTCCAGAACACTTAATTGTGCTCATGAGGAACCTGTGCGTAAAACAGGAGGCTGTCGTTCGAATGCTCATGAGGAACCTGTACGTAGACCAGGAACCTGTCATTCCAACAGAACAAGGGGATACAGCATGGTTTAAAATCAGGAAGGGAGTGTGTCAGGGTTGTATCATTTCACCATTCTTATTCAGTCTGTATGCTGAGCAAATTATCTGAGAAGCTGGACTATATGAAGAAGAATGTGGCATCAGGATTGGAGGAAGACTCATTAACAACCTGTGATATGCAGAATATACAACTTTGCTTGCTTGAAGTGAGGATGACATGAAGCACTTACTGTTGAAGAATAAAGACTACAGTCTGCAGTATGGATTACATGTCAACATAAAACAAAAATTCTCACAACTAGATCAATAAGTATCAATAAATGGAGAAAAGATTGATGTTCTCAAAGGTTTCATATTACTTGGTTCCATGAGTAACACCAATGGAAGCAGCAGACAACGCATCAGACAACGTATTGCACTGGAAAAATATGCTGCGGAAGACATCTTTAAAGTGCTGAGGAGCAAAGATTTCTCTTTAAAGACTAAGGTGTCCCTAACACAAGCTATGGTATTTTCAGTCACCTTATATGCATGTGAGAACTGGGCAATGACTAAGGAAGACCAAAGAGGATTGATGCTTTTGAGTTGTGGTGCTGGTGAAGAATACTGAAAGTATCATGGGCTGCCAAAAGAACTAATAAATCTGTCCTGGAAGAAGTGCAGCTGGAATGCTTCTTGGAAGCGAGAATGGCCAGACTTCGTCTCACCTACCTTGGTCATGTTGTCAGAAGGGACCATGCCCTGGAGAAAGGATGTCATGCCTGGTAAAGTGGAAGTCCCTCAACGAGGTGGATTGGCAGTGGCTGCAACAGTGGGCTCAGGTATAGCAAGGATTGTGAGGCTGGCAGTGTTTTGTTCTGTTGTACATAGGAGTGCTATGAGTTGGAGCCAACTTGATGGCA